TCTCTCATTTTCTCTCCCTTTCTTTCTCCGGGCTACTCTCAGCTGGTCTACCTTGATCGGTGAGAAGAGAGAGAGAGAGAGAGAGAGAGGGGGGGGGGAGAGGATGCAGGGCGAGATGGAGGGCTCTGTCGTTACGGGTTACCACGTAATTTCATGAGGCTATAATTTGGGGAGCGCCGTGGAGGAGAAGAGCATCGGGCCCCGCTGGTAATGGGCGAATCTAGAGGGGGTGGGAGACGGGCAGGAGGTAGCCGGAGAACGGTCTCGGTGGGCCCCAGCGACGGCGCGAGGGGTCCATCGGGATTGAGGCGGGAAGAATGGGCGGGATAATTACCCCTGATGCCCACCGCTCGTTATATTTCATGGAAGCGAGGCGTCTCCTCTCCGCCTCTGCTTAGGTGCATTACCCTCTCGCTCACCGGCTCCGTCGTGGGCTGCGCTACGCGTTTAGAGGACGGAGGCGCGTGTAGAGGTTTTACCTCAGATGTTGAGACGTTAAGGAATTAAAATATGCCGAGACCCGTCATTCGCGTGTCTCTTTCGCCTTGGTTACATCAATATTTCGAATATTTAGAATCATGTAGATAGAAAAAAAGAAATTAAGAATGAAGGCTTCAAGGGATCAGCGGCCGGTCGAGTAGCACGAGCTTTTCAGGAAGACAGCATTACGGGAGAAAAGAAATTCGCGCACTTGCCATCCCATCTGGTTCTAATAGCACGTGCATTTGCAGCTGGCGGCCTTCATGCCACTGGTCCACTACAATTGTTCGAGACACCTCAGGCTCTTCTTATGCGCCGTCTTCGCCCCGGTCTGCTCGGAACATGTGGCTATACCGGCCTGCAAGTCCCTCTGCCTTTCCGTAAGAAGAGACTGCGAGCCGGCCTTAACCAGCCTCACGCTGCCGTGGCCGCACATGTTGGATTGCGATCGCTTCCCTGATCGCGGTAAGCATTCGCTCACCTCTCATCGATATTTAAGCAAAAATGTTAACGCGGCCTGTCGTCACAGTAAATTTGAACAGAAGTTACAGCGAATTCGCATCAGCTACAATCGGCACTAAAGGCCCTAGTAGCACAATGCATTGGCTAAACATTGGTCCAATGTTGGTTGTATTAGAAATGCATTGGCCGATATTGGCCATGGAATAAATGTAAATATTGCACGATAATAATTATATAATGTTAAATTTATATTGGAAGTGCATTGGCCAATATTTAACAATGTTGGTCTAACAATATTGGTCTAATATTGCATCAATATTAGACCAATATTGGGAATACTAGATTTGCATTATTTCCCAATATTGCGCCACTATATTGTGCTACTAGGGAGCCTATGCTCTATCGACAGAATTTGCGAACGAAACGTAAATTTGATTGTACTAACAGAACAGAATCTACATTGAATGTAAAGAATTACTTAACGGTAGCTTCAAATGCATTGACATTGAACTCTTCTTACTACTGCGAAGTTGACGCCTCACTTTTAAAAATCGAAATGAATTTGGAAATACGCGGCACCTCAAGTTCGAAAAAGTCATTTCAACTACAGAATGTTAAAACAGTTGCGCTCGTTAAATTAATTTTAAAACAATGTTTTACTCCGACCGCTGGCACCCCAGTTTTGAAAACTATGCGGTGCTGACAGTTCTGATCGACTTTTTGACACTTTATAACATCAAGTTCAATGTTTTGCGATTAAACTGTACGTTAAAATAGCTTAAACTCTCTGTGTACTGCAGGAACCGCATTGTGCGTGCAGCCGCCGGGCGAAACGTTGGACGACACTAGTTCACCGATACTGCCAACCGTTCAGCAGCAGTGGCCGGTGATGCACGAACGACCGCCGCAGATCTCCACGCGGATGCAACAGCAACAGCAGCATCATCAGTGTCCACCGCATTTCGTGCAAATACCCGATATGGAAATGGTTAGAATAAGCGAACGAACGGGAGAAAGCCAAAATTATATGTAGGGTAAGGTGACCAAATTCGGACCAGGGGGTCAATTCTGTATCTTACAATATATAGTGAAAATGCTAAAAGTGAACGACTTTGTCTCCTTCTGAGGGGAGAAAGTCTACGGTTAGAAAGAGACAAAGCTGTTCACTTTTAGCATTTTCACTATAGTGTAAGATACAGAATTGACCCCCTGATACCAAACGCGGGTCAAACATTTGATCGAGTTGCTAATAAGAGACATTTTAAAGTGATTCACTTAAATTTTGCTCTTTTATACATATTTACAACTTTATGTTGTATTGTCGATACCATAAAAGGCATCGGCATATTTTTATGTCGTTTATCAGCGACTCGTCAAATTATAGATCCGCATTTGGTATTTGATCCAAATTTGATCACTTTACCCTATAGTTGTGGACAGAATGGGGTTGCGACACAGTTTTTTTAATGAGTTTAGGAACGTGCATTTATAGATTCAGGGTTACGTTCCAAAGTCTTCTCTGAGGAATATTTTACTCGGTGGCCATTCCGAAAACCGTTTTGAGCGTTTCCGGATCCTATTTCTCGAGTAAAATTTTCCTGATAGAAAATGCTTTGGAACATAAACCTGAATCCAAATGCGCGATCCTAAACTCATTTGACAAAAGTGTTGCAACCATTGTCCATCGCTGTACGCTTTTTTCTTTCTTTCTTAACATTTCTCACGATTTACGCTTCAGGTTTCTTGCGCACCGCGTTGCGGCACCGACGCGTATTATCGCGCGGAAGACAAAAAGTTCGCCGAGCGTTGGATGACCGGCTGGGCGTGGCTGTGCTTCCTCTCGACACTCTTCACCCTGTTGACCTTCTGGGTCGAGCCGTCCAGATTTCGTTATCCCGAGAGGCCGATAGTCTTCCTGGCGCTCTGCTACAATCTTCTCTCCATGGCTTACATCGTACGTGGTGCGGTTGGCGCTGAGAATCTCAGCTGCGTCAGTCAGATCGACGGGCCGAGTTACGTTCCAGTAAGTAAACGGATCTCTTTTAGCAAATAACGAAATACCCACTTGCAGCTCGTGTTTGGTTGTTGGCTGAAGATGGCTGACTACAAGTCAAAACTGGTTGCGCCGTGGCAGCTCGGATAGAGAGGATGTTTGCGATATAGAGAAGAAACGTAATCTCCAGACGGGCAAATTTATCCAACGTGTTTTTATCAACAGAATATCAGAGAGATGTAACAAACTCTGTTAGCAAAACATGGTGGCAAGTCGATTGCAGAAACTATTTATTTAATATTGCAAAACGACAGATCTTGCTCGACTTTTATTCGCAATCTACTGCCAGATCATGCCGGCAGAATAACGCGGATGCAGTTGATGCTAATCTACCGCCATATTCCGCTTGCAAACTGTTAGCACACTACTAAGGTTTCGCTTATTAGATACCGCACATATCTGCAGAATTATCGGCTTTAATTCCATTCGTTACGATAGTTTTATTACTAGCTATTATGTCCCGCATTCAACTTCCTCGCGTTCATTCATCCGCTGTAATGCCGTTTATCTGCAAACAGGTCCGCGATGCGTTGAAGAGCGTGCCCTGTACCATTTGGTGGCTGATCAGACACTATCTGGGACTGGCCAGCAACATGTGGTGGGCGGTGCTGTGCGGTTGCTGGCTGCTGAGCGCCAGGAACGAGTGGAGCAGCGAAGCTCTTCACAACATCGCGCCCTATCTTCATGCGGCCGCGTGGATTCTTCCAGTATTTTTCACAGGAGGTAAACTTGTACATCGCATATAGATCTAATTGCGTAACATTGACATTCAATTCGCTTCTTAATTGCGCGTTTGTTTGTATTATACATTCTTTTCTTATTGATTCCTTTTAACTTAACATCAGTCCGATACATCGTAGCGATTTTTCTGGCAAATAATCACGAATACGCGCGTCTTTCTCCGTACAGGAAGTCTGGTGTCGCGCAACGTGGTGGCGGACGAGCTGACCGGACTGTGCCAGATCTCCGACGAGTCGGCGCTGTGGCTGGAGGTGCTGCCGCACGCTGTGCTGCTGCTGCTGGGCTGCGCGTTCGGTAGCGTCGCCGGAAGCGCGCTGGTCCGCGTGCGGAGGGCCGTGCGCTGCGCCGGACGCAGCGCGACGAAGCTGGAGCGCCTGATGACGCGGCTAGGTATCTTCGCGCTGTTATACGCGCTGCCGGCGCTGGGCGGCCTGGTCTGCGTGCTGCACGAGGCCTCGGTGAGGCCGCGATGGCGCAAACTGGCGCTACTGGCCGCCCTGGACTGCCGCGCGGCCCAGAACTGCGCGCCCGGCCCGGTATACAGTGCCGCCGGCCTCGAGGTCGCCCTGCTCAGGCTCTTCTTGTCCCTCGTGGTTGGCGTCACCTCCGGCATGTGGGTATGGTCCGGCAAGACCTGCCGCGCCTGGAGCAGACTGCTCGCCGCGCCCAGCAAACCCGCCAGGATACAAGGTCCTTTTCAGGGCTTCAAGCAGGACGACAACATCGCCTGAAGTCTTGGATTTGTTTTAACGATGCGTTACTTAGATGTCGAGGTTTCATCTTGCGAATATGCTTTAAGTATTTTAGACGTTTCCACGATATTGAGATATTTTGCGAAAGAGATTAATTTGAACGGTAGTGCATATTATTGTGATTTTTATTTATCTATCAGATCATATTAATGACCGCGTGAAACAGTGTGTGAAACATGTTACGAGCGATTGCGCTTTGTACATATACGTTGTATATATTGTAAAAATAATGTATGTCTGCGCCTAGTGTGTATTTTAACTCTCGATTATTTGGACTTGCGATATCGTTAAACTCGATTTCTAATAGAGTGGAAGCGTATCTCGATTGATACGACTTCAATAAACATGAGTCATTATTTTTACGTACGCTATTCTTATTTTCTATTTCAGCATTGTCTCGTAAAACTAATCTAATTTCTAACAATTTATCATTATTTTTATTCCAATACTTTACATTTGTCTGAATTAGATCAAAATAAAAAGAATATAATAATAATTTTATTTGAACCAATACGAATTGATTCTTACGTACTAGAATTCGCAATATTTGTACCATAATAGAACATTGTAAATTGTAAAATACTGGACATGTATACATATAATTCGACAAAAGTATCTGAAAGTAGAATTCCCAAAAAATCGAATAAAACCAAATAAAATTGAAGGTACATATAATAAAGAATTTTATTAGGAGTTGATAAAATATAAATCTCCAGTAGAAAATAATGTAGCTTTTTGAATGTTTATTTTTACACTTAAAATTTTACATAAAATTTATATTAATTTAATAAGCAATAATATAGATTAAGTAATTATATTCGTTAATTAAGCCCATCATTCCTCATTTGGGATTTATTTGAGACATCAGCAAGGGATCAGTCCGGCTCCTTGCAAGTACTTCAGGAATCAGAATTCAGACGGGCAGGTGATTAGCCTCTGCATCCTAGTCTGGTGTCAGGGCTGCTGACTTGATGACGACCAGACTCGCCAGTAGTAGGTGTGTGGCAGAATACTCTCGGTGGTTACCATTTCCTTTCGAGAGGTAACGTTCGAAAAAATCAGCGGTGTTCATGGATTTCAACTCGGATTTGTTTGCTAAATAGCGCACATTTCTCTGCGCCATGCTCGCCATAAGTAAATAGATTACTTATTTATTAATATAATTAAGTTATACAATTACTTATCTAATATTTTTTAAAGCAACTCCGAAATAAAATATTGCAAATTATTAGTTCCTATTCTCAAAATATTTACATTAAGCAATATGAAAAAAATCACAAGATCCATAAATTAAAACGTTAATATTTTCTACAAAGATCAAAATTTCTGTATTGCTTCTTATATATATATATATATATATATATATATATGTATATATATATATTTAATCCCACAATATTGAAGGTGTTACAAATAAATTTAAAAGTAAAAATACTTGAGATTATTAAGTTTAAATTATTAAGTAACTTATCAATCCAAATTTCTTGATTCATTATTACAATAAAGATTTACATTTTGTTAAGTTAAAAGTTTAAATCAAATAATGTGAGAATTCAATTTCTTAATGACAAAGACTAAATTTCTATAATATTAAACTCAAGGTACCATTGAAACCAAACTTTTGTAATAATAAAGATCGAAAATACCACAAAAACTCCACATCTACAATGTTGAAACTCCAACCCCTACAATGTCGTTTTAAGTCTCACGATGGCAAGGCTCCAGGTTCCACAATATCGAGGTTCCAAGTCCCGCGATGCAAAAGTTCGAGGACCCGTAATATTAAAGTTCCAGGTCACAGGTGCTGCGATGTTGAGGTAAAGCCCAATAATGAATCGACCGCAACGTTTCTGTGATAAAATTTTACAATAATCCCCTTCTGAGATGAAATCCCGCGATGATCCTCTTCTGCGACGAAGCCCCGCGATGGTCCTCTTCTGCGATGAAGTCCCGTGATGATCCTGTTCTACGACGAAGTTCCACGATGATCCTCTTCTGCAATAAAATCCCACGATGATCCTCTTCTGCAGTAAAGCCCTGCGATGATCCTCTTCTACGACGAAGTTCTACTATGGTCCTCTTTTGCGACAAAGTTTTACGATTGAATTTCGAAATTGCAGATTGCAGTAATGAAGTTCGAAGGCTCAAAATGTCGAAATTTTAAGGTCATAGACCATTCAATTTTTCAAATTTTATAAATATTGAAGATTAAAATCTTATAATGTTCAAAATTCATACGTTATAAAGTTATTATTGAAAGTATAAATTTACTTTAAATTCGATACAAGACAGGTGGAAAGCTCAGATTCTATAATATAGAAGATAGTAAATATAGTAATGCAAATCTGAATCCCACGATACTATGGTTCACGATTAAGTTCAGAGTATAGATTTAAAATAAAATTCTATAATTACAGTTGTAATTTAATATTTTAACTTGAAAGAGTAATATCAATATCTCAATGACTTGATTTCATTTAATTGCATACAATGCTACAATTTTTATGATTTCTATGTTTAAATATTATTTTATTTTGCATCGAAGCAATTCTTCTCTATAATAATATCGTAATAATTTTTAATGAAGATGCATAATTTCTTTCTGTACAGAAATTTTATGTATATGGATCGCATTCCTTGTCCATAATGTAGTTTTGTATTTTCATTTGTGTCAAAGTCTTACCAGAATTTTCTTTTACAAGATATCACAGATGATTTTACAAAAAGACGTAGAATGATCTGTACATATGACATAAGTGTATCATATGTAACATGGTATTTCATCGCTGTTTAAATTCTACAATAACTTTCTTTGTAATGAAATTGAGATGACTTTTGTTTATTGTAGTCTTGACCAGCCTTCATGAAGTCGAACAATAACGACCATCTTCGGTGATAAAATTCTATAATAATTTTTTTTCTGAGATAAACTCCCACAATTATTTTTGTTTGTGACAAAATCCCGCGATGACCTCCTACGACAAACTCTTGTAATGATTCTTTTCTGCGACGAAGTCCTGCGACGATCCTTTCCTTGCGGCGAAATCCCACGAT